ACATAGTTGACATATATGTGTTTATAATCTTCAGACTATGGCTAGACTGAGAATTATATCTATCTATATATATATATATATATATATGTATATATGTTGTTGCTTTTATTCAATAAATTAATTCTTTTGTACTCTTACTTTATTACTCAACATTATTTGCTTTCTAAATTCTTTGGAGTAGAATCTCTAAAGAGTGACAATTGAGTCAGTCTTGAAAAAGAGTAGCTCAATTTTCAATCTTTAATAGAGTTTAAGAGAGAATTTAAGATTTCACTCTTCAAAGTGAGATTCATTCTAAAAATTTTAGAGAGTGGAGTATTCTGCCAACATTTATATCAACTAATCTAGACTGCTGATAAAATGCATGTTTATATAATTATTATATGATATGATATAATTATGTAATAATATGACAATAATGTTATAATAGTAATATTAAATTATAAAATAGATAATTTGCTAACAATAAATCCAAAATAATTATAATTTTACAATTTTAAACATATTTCTAATATGGTAGCATTTAAAAAATATTTTTATTGGATTTCCAGACACAAGATAGACACAATAAATTCAGTTGCATATTTTAATAGACAAATAGTATGTATTAGGTGTTGGAATTAATTCGTAGCGTTTTACAAGTGATGGGAAGTACTTTCATTAATGTATTTTTTAATGCTCATGTGAAATAAATAACATTCTTTCATTAAAAAACGCTACGAATTAATTCCAACACCTAATAATAAAATATGTAAATAATAGAAATAATAAGATAATAAAATTGAGCTGCATAAATGTAATAAAAGATGAGACATATCCAATTTAATTAAAACTTACGTATCTTTCTAGTTACCATCAGAAATATCGACTGCAGAATCATCCATGGCTGGTTGAAACATTGGGCTTCAACACACGAGAAATTTTGTGTGAGTCTCCACTAGCAGCCAAATTGAATGGCTACATCGCAGGAGCTGGTACCTTGGAACAATTTGAAAGAGAGTTACCGAATTTAGAATTAAATGAGAAGTCGGTACAATATTTAACGAAATATATTATTGAGAATCAAGGCAGTGGTTTGTACTGCTAGCAAATCTAGTACAATGGGAAAAATGCAAATAATATTTTTTACATTAACGAATATATATTTGGACATTCTCAAATTCTTCGTAAGAAGAATACACACAGCTTTATATATATATATATATATAACAAATGTTTTAAATATTTATGTACATACTTACTAGTTGTTCATAAATATTTAATACCGCGATTGTATTTAATGTTCGCCTATAGGTGCTTAATTTTAATAATTTAATAATTATATATTATTAAATGCCTAGTGGCGGGGCTCAACTTTTGCTCTTGGTACCCACTTTTCTTAACAATTAAATGTCGAATTATTAATAATTTCCCAATTATATAAATTTTATAATATCAAATAGATAAAAGAATTCTTTAATTAATGTTTTCAAAGAGATACCGCTTTTTATTAGCCAAGAAGAACAACAGTACATATAGTAACTTTAAAAATATATGATTTATCAAAAGTATATTCACTGAAAATTAAGCTGTTAAAATTAATTAGTCTATTAATTAATCTAGTTAAAATTAATTAAATTATAGGTTGATTGAAGTATACTTTCATCTATTCTGAAAGAACGCGCTCAAAGGCAATTAACGGCTGTGCATTATTAAAAAATTCAAAGCTTTATAATAAAAATATATAATGTTATACAGATGAATGAACCTCAATTTATCTCTTCTTTTCACGGAAAAGAGCCGGTTTCAAACTGTTAGAACACAACTCATATCAGAGACAGCATTACCAACACATGTCGAGTACTTGTGCCTTTCTTGCGCGAATTTCAAATTCTAGTAGATCTTATTATATGAAAAAAAAAATAATAAGACTATAAAGACTCTTCCGCCAACTTCGATTAATTAAATTAATCGATGATCAACTCGCAGAAGTACTAATAACATTTGATGTTTCAAAATCGCATCTCTCTCCTCTTCTTTTGAGACAAACTGTGTTTAGTTCTCACATTAGCAATCATGATAATTAAGTCAATCATCGATTAACGTTAATCGGAGTTAATGAAAGAAACTCTAAGTAAAATTTCTATATTAATGTCACTGTAATATCACATTAAAAAAAATATATTTTATATATATACAATTATGATAATAAAAATATTTTTTGTAAATAAAATCTATTTTTCCTGTCTATACTCTCTACTTAAATACGTATGCCTTTTACATTCGAATTTCTATTTTTTTAACATTTTTATATATTCTTAAGATTTTTCCAGTTTAAATTAAAAAATGTGTAATCATAAGAAAAAAGTAAGTTTGTTCTTAACGAGTTAAAAAAAATAGAAATATGTGATTTAATTCAATCAATAAAATACAAAAGAGATCTATAAAAAGTCAAAGATATCTACAAACTTTTCTTAATTCATATAAATTTAGCCGATTTAATTGATTTTTTCAAAATTCCTATTATGTTGTATGAATTTTTGAAATGTAATTATGAGACTCGACAGTCATTAAAATAATTTTAATTACATATTTTTGCATTATATGCAATTGATCAACAGAAATAAATTAAACAAAGTTTTTTTTATGATCGTTTGTATTGTATAAGAATGTTATAAATTATAATTTTAAAAATTCAATAATTATTTAGATAATTTAAATTAAATATTTTAAAACTATAATTATCCAATGTATCGGCTAAGTTCATTCATTCGAATTAATTATTTGTCAATTCTGCATACTGCAGCCTGCAGCGCCTCGCTAGCGTTCGTTTCAATAGCCTAGCAGAACGACGATCTGCGCATCGTTCGATCCGCGACTGAAAGACTGACGACTTAACCCAGTCGGACCGAGACACAGCTAGTGTAATATCTTCTGTATCCTGAAAAATGGCATGGTTATGCGCTCGTACCGTGCTCCAAACATGTCGACGGCGGATCTCTTATAGCCTCGCGTGCTCCCAAAAGAAAGAATGTAAATATCGCTTCCGAGACAAATCGTCAAATCGTCCGTCCCGCACAGATTTTTCACGTTTTCGCATTATCTACATTACGTAATATTTTTCGCCCATCGATTTTGACTTTCGGTTTCCACGGCCGATGTTTGCGCGTAATGAAAAGAGAGAGAGAGAGAGAGAGAAAGAAAGAAAGAAAGAAAATTCGGTCGATTCATACGTATATCTCTGTTTTTCTTTTGACAGTTGCCGATCCGCTTGATCATGCCACAGGTTTGGAGAAGAGAGAAATGCTCGCCTATTTAGCCGGTAACGAAGTAAGTTGTGACATTTCCAATTTGGTTAGCACGCCTGTATGGACACTTTCCTATGACTTTGCTGTGCTAATGATATATTAATTATATTAATGACATATAATTATATAATGATATAATATTATTATTAGCAATATAATAATTATTATGTCACAATATTAATGAAATGTATGTGATAAATTTGGAAAAATGAAGCTCTTGATAAGGCTTTTCAAGTATTATCAAAGATAAGAAATTAATATTATAATGAGAACATGTTCTTTCATGATCATTTTTTCTAGACTTGTGTACATTTTATCTTAGTATTTTTTTAATAGACATCACTTTGAATATCAATATCTTGTTAAAAACATATATGTTAACTTGTATCTTTTTAGGATCCATATAATATGACCATAAAACGGCGAGCAATCAGCACAAAGGAAGATCCCAATATAGTATATAGTGCATTTGAAAGTCGCATAATGGGCTGCATCTGTGATGAAGATTCATTACATGTAAACTGGATGTGGTTGCATCAAGGTCCTCCACGTCGTTGTGAATGCGGCCACTGGTTCAAATTGGTCGAGAAGGCACCTATATAATATACTTAAGGATGTGCGAAATAGTGGATTGTTTTCAACATAGAATTAATGTTACGTTAGACAGTAATTATGTCTATTTCATTTACTACCATGTCCTGCCTCCATCCTATTGAAAAAATTAAATGGCACTTATTGTATGGAAATCGCAGAAATAAATATATTGTAAATATTATGTACATTATCCTGCATTTTGTTCTTATTAATATCATTTGAACTCATTACTGAAATTTGAAGCATCACCGCATGTAGGTTATATTATAATCTTACAAGATTGATAATCAAAATAGTTTCTTAAATGATCCATATAATTGGAATATAATGTAATTTTGAAAAGTTATATGTTATGAAAATAGATTTTTAATTTCAATATATATATTTACAATTCATCACTTTCTTCCAGCTCGTTCAAGTTTGAACCTACTCACAATTCTTTTTTCATCTTTCTCTGTCGAAACATTTACAGGTGAAGCTTTATGTTCTTGGATTCTCTCTTTGATCATCTACAAAATATGTTTATTAGTATATACAATATCTACGTGAATATAGTATGATCAAATTATTTGTACTTACAGAATTGTATTCATAATTAACATATTCATCTTCATCTTCTGTATCTGTATTATTGCTTTCGTTTAAAGGAGGAACAACTTCATTGAAAATCATATCATTTGGAGATCTTTTCAAAATCGATTTAGGAGCATTAAATATTTTATAAATATCTACTGGACTTTGTATTTCCATATTATTTGATTCAAGTATATCTGGAGTATGAGATGAATGTGAAAATTCAATCTTAATGGTATCATTTTCATCTTCAGAACTTTCATTACATGTATCATCTTGCTTCACAGCAGAACAGACTTCTTGAGGTATTGATATTTTATTTGTATTGCTTTCATCTCCTATGACACATGGCTCAGCAAATGATATTCTCCTTTTTTCCTTTGTATTTATATCTTTAGATACTTCCTTGTGTTCAAGTAAACAATTCTCCTCCCTTAATTTCTGTTGGATAAAATTTGTAGAGGAATGAGACTGTTCATTCTTTATAGCACTTATATCAATGATTTTATCTTGTGCTGTATCAGAATTGCCATTCGACGTGTCACTTGTAATTCTACCCATTTGGAGATCTTTCAGTTTTTTTAATTCTTCTTGAATTTTCTCTGTTGTAATTTGATCAGAATCAGATTCATCCTCTTCTGATTCATCATAAACTTCGCCATCTTTCAAGTCATCACCATAATATGCTTTTCGTTCGTTTTCCAGTCTGCAATTGTATAAAACAATAAGCAATAGATTACAACTCTCAAAAATCGTCAAAAATAAGTTTCAATTGTAAAACTGAGTAACCTGTAAATTTCATCTTCTAATTCTTCTTCCACCTCCAATTCATCGAGTCTCTTGAAAAGATCTTCTTCAGTACGAATGTTAGTCTTTTCTTTTTCCTTCAACTTTGCTAGTTTCTGACGATACTCCTTCTCATGTTGTCTATGTTGCACTGCAAAAGAACATTTTAATTTCAATGTTTAGCCTAATGTAAATAAAAAGGTAAGACAAATTTTCTGTATACCTTTCCACTCATCAAGCTTATCCTCAGACCAATGTTCGATTATATCTTTTCTGTCCCTGCTAAAAACATCATGTTCCAATGGAATATATTGTCTCATTTCATACAAGTTTCTTTCAGTTTCTAAACTCTTCAGCATTTCATCCGCCCCTGCGGATAACATAAAAACGTATAATAGTCGTAATATCTAATAAAATATTTTTCTTCAAGGATATATGTAATATTTATACATGCTATTCTCCTATTGCATAATGCAATCGCTTGTGATGCACTATATTTGACAAAATAGCCCTCTCCCAAATAAACCAAGATTTCATTAGTATGAGTTAATTTTCCTTTCATAAACGCCAGCTTGCCGATGGGTACCATACAACTCTCAGAAAGTGATAATGGATATGCTTCAAGTCCCTCTATTACTTTTTTGTGTCCTTTTTTATAATCTGTTATTGCTTTGATTCGTTTTTCATTTTGTTCAAGTTTCTGTAATGTAAGTCGGTTTACAATTTTTTTAATATAACAAATGTAATATAAATAAGAAAATCAGTGCATAAAATTTAATCGAGAAGTATAAGTTTATACCTGTACGAGCACATTGTTAAGTATCTGTTGATAACTTTGTATTGCTTGAGGTCCTATTGTTGCATTGTTAATTATATTATTATCCATACTTTATCTATACGTATATCTCGTTAAAAAAATTAAATACAGAATAGAATCTATTTTATATAAATCTGTATTTAGGAACAACTTGTTTCTCGTCCACTCAAATCGTCCGGCTTTATATTTTTGTTAATCTAACCTATTCTCAGGGTGCCCAACTGATTGGTCCATTCCGTTACAACCTTAACTTTCAGAATATCATGACCAATAAACGAATTTAACAAAATTGAAAAAAAAATTTTAAATGAATGTTCGATATTAGAATATTTTTTAAATTTGTTCTTTTAAAAAATAAGAATTTTCTTATTTTTTACATTTATTATATTAATATTAAAAATAAACTAATAAAAGGTTACGAACCACTCTAGATGTTAAGTGAGTTTTATGAAAAACAGAGTAAAAGTTTTATGAAAATCTTTTTAATAAACAATCAAATTATATATAATTATAAGGTGTAGTAAAAAGAAATCCATTATTTTTCCAATAGATGGCTTTAGTAATCTGTATCTCGCGTTGTATAAGTGCGATCGGGTTACGCTAGATGACGTTAGAAAGATAAGCTTTCGTACTAAAAAAAACTTCTCAGTCAGTTTTGTGATTGCTTGACTCAAACAGTTTTGTGATTGCTTGACTCAATATTGTTTGAGCGCGCGTCAAAGATGGACATCAACAAAGAGAAAATACGTCATATTTTACAGTTTTTCTTCGATAAAGGCGAAAACGCAAGCCAGGCGGCTGAAAATGTGAATAGTGTTTATGGTCCTGATACTGTAACAGCCAATCACGCGCAATTTTGGTTTCGTCGATTCCGTTCCGGTAATTTTGATGTCAAAGATGCACCACGTTCTGGAAGGCCAATTGTCGAAAATGTCAATAAAATAATGGAAATCGTCGAGTCCGACCGTCATGTAAGCACTGTTTCGATTGCCCAGGAGCTAAACATTGCACAAAAAACCGTTTGGAACCACTTGAATAAGGCTGGATACAAAAAGAAGCTCGATGTATGGGTGCCACATGAGTTAACGCAAAAAAATCTCATGGACCGAATTTCCATCTGCGAATCGCTACTGAATCGCAACAAAATCAACCCATTTTTGAAGCAGATGGTGATTGGTGATGAAAAGTGGGTCACTTATGACAACGTCAAGCGAAAACGGTCGTGGTCGAATCGCGGTGAGCCGGTGCAAACGGCCAAGCCAGGATTGACGGTCAGGAAGGTTTTGCTGTGTGTTTGGTGGGATTGGCAGGGAATCATCTACTATGAGCTGCTCCCCTACGGCCAAACTCTTAATTCGAACCTGTACTGTCAACAATTGGACCGTCTGAAGGAAGCAATCGTCCAGAAGCGGCCAGCGTTGGCCAATAGGAGAGGAATTATGTTCCATCAGGACAACGCAAGGCCATACACATCGATAGTGACTCGCCAGAAGCTCCGGGAGCTTGGTTGGGAGGTTCTTATGCATCCACCTTATAGTCCGGACCTGGCTCCAAGTGATTACCACCTGTTCCTGTCTATGGCGAATGATTTTGCTGGTAAAAAATTCACCTCAAGAGAAGCTTGTGAAAATCGACTGTCTCAGTTTTTTGCCAATAGGAACGAGAATTTCTATGAGAGAGGCATAATGGAATTACCTTCAAAATGGCAACAAGTTATCGAACAAAACGGTGCACATTTGAAATCCTAAATCAGATCATTCTAACTATACTAAATAAAACCTTCAATTTCATGGAGAAAAATAATGGATATCTTGTTACTACACCTTATACAACAATCTCAGACATTTCGATTCTTATCGCGTCATTATCTCAATGTTAAAATTTAAAATGTTACTGATAATCTCGCAAGAATGCTCGTAATTAATCAATTATGTAAAACGCATGTAATTACTTGCATATTGAACAGAAAAAGATAATAATGATTCCTTGTGGATTCCAGAAAGTAGTCTCTATTAATATTATATTTAGCAAATGACAGGGCGACCTTAGATCTTTCATAAAATATTTTTATAGATAACACAAACCTATGAATTAGATTAAGATTAATCGCAAGTTTTTCATAAAAATAGCTTTCTATTCCATAAATAAAATTCTCCTTAAATAACTCTTAATCAATAGCACATTTTTTACATACTTCGATATTTTATATACTGGAGTTGTACATATATTTATTATGATTATTGTATTGTACATTACATAATAATACAAAGTTATTAAGTCTTATTACATTGTTATATATATAACAATATATTTTAATATAGAAAATACATATCAAAATTTATCAATTAATTGCAAGATATGTTGTTGTTCTGCTTCTTTCCATTCTGTGTCACCAGCATCTCCTAAATTACCGGCATATTCTAGTTTTGAAATAAAAAATATGTGAATGAATACATTATTAATATAAATTTGTGATTAAATATGCCGTTAAATTTACGTCATTTACCTCTCATGATGTGTCGAATTGTTTTAAGGGATGCTCTTCTTTGCGCCAAGATTCTTGTCACTCGTTGTTTGACTGCAGGTGGACAACCAGTGCAAGCTTCCAAAAGTACATAATCTACTAATTGTAATATAAATAACCCGCCGTCTAATCTTCTCAAGTAAGACTCTTCTTCGTCTTCATCCTCCTTGTGATAAAAATAAAAAATCGAGAACATAAATTTTTTAAACTTTTTGCTTTTAGATATCTCTGTTAAATGTTTCTGATTGTGTATGTACCTTTCCATTCTTTTCCACTTCTTCTACTTTTTCAAGATATTTAAAGTGTAATTCCATTAATCTATCAACTTTCTCATAATCGTTCTCCGTAAACTTACTAAGTAATCTTTGACGCTGTTGTCCTTTACAATTCTTCAACATACTTGCTATGATTGAAATAACATGTTCTACAAAAATACTGTTTATTATTTTACTATAAATAATTAAATTAATCAATTTAATAATATCAATATATATCGAGACTATACATCCTCTAATACCTTCATGTTCTTCTGCAGTAAGCATTTTTTTTCTATTTTTTGTTGGAGTTTTCATAAATAGAGGAAATATAGTTCGCAATCCAAGAATATCTACAAATTTGCTGCAATTATCTCTTCCATCTGGGCCGTTCATAGCGTGATCTAAAACCTACAACATTTCAATTGTAATAATTTATATAAATCCAACAAAAAGTGTTGCAAATAAACCCACTTTGAGAGATCCATTTCGTGACATTTTCTTTTCTCGCAACATTAAGTTCATAAGTTGAAGACCTTCACCACGCAGAAATCTATCACGATTTACTGTAGCCATTAGGCTTGAACACAAAACGTTAAATAAATTTTCCATCATCTCTTGTTCCTCTGCAGTCTGTGGATCATGCCTCTTATAATACTGTAAATAATCAGTTTTAAGATAATTCAATTTGATAATATTATGTGCAATGCACAGATTATAAAAAAATACATACAGCTAATTGTTGTAATAAAACGTCAATTCCATCCAAATCACCTAAAAGAAGTCTATTTTCTGGTGTATGCTGCAAAAGTATAGATAGAAGTTCACTGGCATAAAGTTTGTTTGCGTCAAAAGGTGTTTTCGTTTTAATTCGGCGTAATAACCATTGCATTAGACCCTGTTTTCCTGCATCTGCACATAGGTCTGGTCTAAACTCCAGCAGGTTTTCAAAAATAGCTAGAAATAAAAAAAAATCATTGTTGAATTAATTCAATAGAAATAGTAGTTTTGCAAAAACAAAAAACAAATAATATGCATTTATTAAATAATTACCAAGTGTGTTATAGACACCATCACTCTCTTCTTTTACTGTTTCATCGAGTCTTTCAAGATTTTGTACTAGAAGAGCACAAACTTGTTGCTCCAACAAAGCATCAATAAGTGTATCTGCACCTTCTTGACTTTCGTGTAATATGTCTACATCAGTTAATTCCTGCAGAAGATCTACCACACCAACTGCTATGTCAGTATTTTCATGAGACAACAATTCTAATAAAGAAGGCACAGCGCCCAGTTCTACCATTAACTGATACAGATCTGGATTGGTCGCTATGATATGAAGCTCTTGTAGAGTTTCATGTAGTTCTACCTCAGATTCCATAAATCTGCAAAAATCCAAAGAGAATAGAATTATACTTGAGATTTTCTCCTGACAAACATTTATGTAGCTTCCATGTGTTTGCATACTTTTCTGGTTGATCTGGGAATTTAACTCTCATTTCTTGATTTCTCAGAGCTCTCTTCTCAAACAAAAGAATCATACGTTTAAGCGTCGCTTCGTCCAAAGCTTCGATTTCAGGAGCCTCAGTTTCTACATATTTTAATATATCTTGCTTCTCCTTTTCTGTTAATTGTGGTTCAACTACATCATTAGTCGACGAAGGTAAAGCAGCTCTGATAGGCGTAGCAGGTTCATCGTTCCTAGATGGTACTACATCGAGTTCCTTGGGTTGTCGTTGACGTGCATGATATGGTGTTTTTATCACTCTTCTTGGCCTTTTTGCATTCTCCCATTCATCCTCGTCATCCTCTTCCCCTGCTGTCGGTCGTTTTGGTGTGTTTGGAGGCTATACATATTATTACTATTTAATTACCATACGTTATTTGCAAACGAAAAAGTAAATCACAAAATTAACAAAGAAAATTTTTATAAGCCAAAAATTATGACATATAAGCGACAGGTTAAATTAAATAATATATATATTGTAGAGATAAATATAAATTATACAACTCGCTAATTCGATTACATACCTTATAAGATAACAGTTCTCCGATATCCATTTGTCAAAAATAGATCGCTTAGTTTAAAAATTACGCTCAAAAAATGTACAAAATTTAAATTGAGTAATTTTTGTGTCACTTTGATATTCACACTCATTCAACAATATTTGAGTTCTCTCAATTGTCAATTCTCTTGCAATTTCACTCTCTGCAGTTATTATTTCTTGTTTTGTGGAAAAAGTCATAACTTATCCTAACCTGACCTAATCGACCAACCTAACCTATTATTGATCAACCTGTTTAAGAAAATCGTGATAAATTCATATGAAAAAATTTTCGTATAAAAATCTATTATTGCAATTGCATGAATTGTAATTATGCAAATAATTTATACACATACAGCGCAAGGTATTTAACGTTATATTTAACATGATTGCGTTATCTCGATTAGCGCGAACTTTCTCTCGTTTATCGCAAATGACATTACGCTCGTCGAGCAGTTTAGAAAAGAAAACGGATCTATATCGTCAATTGTATGCAAAAATATTAGCATGCGGGCCTATAACGCTCGCAGAGTACATGAAGGAGATTTTGCTTCATCCCACTGCAGGTTATTATACAACTAGAGATGTTTTCGGGCAAAGAGGCGATTACACAACTTCTCCAGAAATCAGTCAACTTTTTGGAGAAGTATGTAACTCTTCGAAAAAGATCTGTGTTTATTTATTATGTCAATGATTGTAAAAAATTATTATATGAAGTTAGTATTGCAATGATGTCCTTGAAATAATTTTATCTCTTTTCTTTTATTATTTGTTTCAAAATCACCAAGAAATTATTGTCCAGAAGTAGCTTATACATTAATCATTATTGATAGATTATAGCAATTTGGATAATCAATGAGTGGGGAAAAATTAGCAGAGATTCTATCCAACTTGTGGAATTAGGTCCAGGAAGAGGTACCTTGATCAATGATATCCTACGGGTATATTTTCAATATGATATTACAAATCTAACACACAACTGTAAAAATTATAAGTTGTCTCTTATTTTAGGTGTTCAAAAAACTGAATTTTTCAAATAAGATAAGATCGGTTCATCTAATAGAAATCAGTCCTGTTTTGTCTGCAATTCAAGCAGAGAAATTGTGTACAAAAAGCAAAAGTATTGAGCCAAGAGTCAATGAAGACCAAAAGAATTCTATTACACATTATAGAGAGGGTGTTACGAGAGACAATGTAAAAATATATTGGTATTATTCTATCAATGATGTTCCTAGAAAGTTCAGTGTATTTATTGCACAAGAGTTCTTTGATGCTCTGCCAATACATAAATTCCAGGTATGGAAATATTAAAACGTTGATACTAATGTATTATACACATTGTACAATAAGCCATTATAGTAATAAATCAGGAATCAGAAGCTAGAAATTCCAATCACAATAGAATATGAGAAAAATAATTGACTATGATTAATTAATTTCTAGCTTCTGATTTCTGATTTATTACTAATGACTTATTGTAGAATGTACGTTAAATATATAAAGGATAATTTTTTTTACAAAAGTCATATCGCTTGATTTTAGAAAACTGATAAAGGTTGGAGAGAAATCTTAATAGATATAGTGCAAGACTCAAAAGAAGAAAGATTTCGATATGTACTTTCGCAAATGCCAACAGCTGCTTGTAAAGTATACCTATCTGTGAGCATTTATTTGTGTCGGTTTTTGTAACATCTAAGTTTTAGATAATAGAATAATAAAAGCTATATCTTTTAGCTGCACGAGAAAAGAGATCATGTGGAAATAAGTCCTCAGTGCTCTGTGATAATTGATTATATGTCCCAGTTTTTGTGGGAACATGGAGGATTTGCATTAGTGATTGATTATGGTCATGAAAAGGAAAAGACCGATACATTTCGCGCATTCTGCGAACATAAATTACACGATCCCTTGTTAAATCCTGGAACTGCAGATCTGACTGCGGATGTTGATTTTTTATTATTAAAAGAGATTGCACAGAAAGACAATAGATTAATCACGTTTGGTCCAGTGACGCAAAGAAAATTCCTGAAAAGTCTTGGCATCGATTTACGGTTAAAAATGATTTTACAGAATGCTTCTAATAATCAAAAGGAACATATTGAATCAGGATATCATATGATAATCGATGAAGATAAAATGGGAAATTGTTTTAAGGTACTATCCCTCTTTCCTTTTGTTTTAAAAGATCATTTGAATAAATGGCCTGTAGCAGGTTTCGAAGATAATAATAAAATAAAATCTTAAACTTTTATTTTCAAATATGAAAGAAAAAAGAGAATCGTATGTATATTACTACTAACTATATTTTTTATTAACTATATAATGACATATATGTACATATAGTAAGCATATAGGTAATTAATACTGTACAGAAAATAAAAATAAGTTTATATGTGGAAATAAAAGCTCTTTAAATTTACTTTTAATTAAATAAATCTAACTTTTCCAAATAGAATTATAAATATTTTTATTATAAAAAGTTATATGAGATAAAGAATTATTTTTTCCACAAATTTTAATTCGTTACTCTTTTATTTTAAATCTTTACTCTTTAAAACCATCTTTCCAATTTCCATTGCTTGTTATTAATAATTCAGCATTTTTATTATATACGCAACAATTATATTTTTTACGATGATCGTAATGTATGCTGCGAATCAATTATACATTGATACTGAGATAGTCCGGCCTCTACGAATGTCAGAAAGACGTGAAGGGGCGCAAACGATCCATACACGTGAGCTTGGTAGCACGTGAACGGTTAGTGAAAGGAATGTGCAAGATGTTAAGAACTAAATAAATAAGTAAATAGTTACCGGTTCGATAATGATGATATTTAAAAAAGTGTCATTGCTGTTTAAGAAACTTTATCGACTCAACATTCTCATTTCGGATATCGGATCATTTAAATAACATTACTTTTGCTAAAAACTGCTACTACTTTGAAAACTAAAATTTTAATCTTTTGATATAATATTTTGCAAGCGATTAATTTCTCTTTTATGTTAGATTTTATTATCTGATGCAATTAGCACTAAATTCTATAGATAAAAAATGTGTAACGAAAATTTTGTTATAGTCTAGACTTTAATATTTTCTTGATCAAAGTATATATAATCACGTTTTTTTTTAAACTCTATTGGTTGATTAATCACACAAGTTCGCATCTTAGATCACGCGTTTATCATGCTTTTGCCGTGGAGACCTCGTGTACAAGACATTACATTTTTGCGTAATACACGTGAACAGTACGAAGAACATACGCGAGCCAGCAATCTCGGAAAGTCCTTGACCCTTTTCTTCGCGATTTTACTTTTACTTAACGTATCTCGCGTGCATGCCCTAGTCCCCACTTCCGCAAACTCCTTTCGCTTGTTCCTAACACTCATCTTGGTGAGTCGAGGTAGACCGTTTCACGGAGGACCATGGTTCGCGGCAGAACGAAAGAACATATCTTCAGTTTATTATCGAGAACACTCATCGCGCGAATATTTTTGCGGCGGACTCCAGAATTTCTCTCATCACGACAGAACGTTCGAACTGCGAGTAAGATTAAACGCATTCTCTTAGATGGAATTAATATATTATTATTGGAAAACAGATAAGAATATACAGCAGTTATAAGTTTATGCCGCATTCAATGAGATTTCACTGAAAAGAATCATAGATTATTTCAATTAAGAATATTAAATTCTAGGGATAACGATTGCAAAAGAAAGTTTAAAATTAAAGAGTAAAAAAATACAATATATAAGTGCTTCAGAAATCAAATTGAATACCTACAAAATAATATGAAAAGATTGAATAAAATACTTATTAATTCCCAGTGAAATTCTATATTGTTGTTTTAATTGATGAAATTTTCATTGATTCAGTTTGAAAGAGTGATATAAAACTAAACGTCCCGATTTATTATTGCAAATGTTTGCGGTGACGAGCACGGAGAAGCTCGGGATCAACGATGAGCGTTTTAAATCTGCAATAACGATCTCTAAGGCTAAGAATGTCGAATGCAGGAAAGATTATTGTTGCGATGATGAAAACGATCCCAAAATATTGCATCTTGTGCGAGTTAAAGGATTTCCACGACTATTGCCCGAAGGTAATTTGAAGACTGTATATCGTATATCATCGTTGGCAACGAATAAAAGTTAAGTTTGCAGTTTCATAAATTGCATATACATGCGTTAAGGAAGTTCGTCGATGTTTTAGGCATCCTCGCTTTGACTAACTATTGTCGATGGCTTCGCGAATTATCTTTATCGTATGCCTTGCTGAGCGATGAGCTGCTCTTAGCATTATGTTCGATGAAGCAAATCCACTTGGAAACTCTGCGAATAGAAGCATATCCAGAAGCGAAACCTTTTCCACTTGTTAGCGACAAAGCATGGTCCGCATTTTCAAATCATTTGCCTGATATAAATCTTGCGCTGTAAGTAAAAACAAACTATATATATCTTGATTAAAAATTATTATTACAATATCCGCGCGATGCGAGTAAAAGTCAAAATAAGCTCTATAGCTGTATTTTTTATTTTTTGTTAGACTATCTTACATGACCGACGACGATAATAAAAAATTACTTTTTACGTCGCACATCCCCGTAACACATTTGTATCTCGGCGACGCAACATCTGAGTCGATGTCACGCATAAGCAAGCAATGTCCACGATTGATAGAATTAGTTATCGCCACATATGAATCTGGTCCGATCGATCGTTTCCTGATTTCCATGGCCAAGAGTTGCTCGCACCTTAGCGCCGTCAGTTTGGGCGATTGTGAAATCACGTTTGTACTCATGAATATGCCATATCGCTACTCTAATTCAATATTGAAATATCTTTATTAATTCCAAGATATTGTAAATTTAAATTTTATTTCTTTCATGAAAATACACAATTTGAAAATTAATAAAACTATTGTCTTCATTTTATTCATCGCTAATGTTTAATTATTAATTTGTAAAATTTGTCATCTCAGAATCTCATTAATAATGAATTATTATTAATAGATATTTCAATATTGCAGCAATGATATATATCGAAAAATACACATCATGTCTTTCCAACAAAATATTAATAAAAAATAACTTTTTTTTCCATTTTATAGTTGTTCCGGGTTAGCGAAATTCGTTGCGTTGTGCGCACATCGTCTGCAGGTATTGTACGTTTCGGAAACATCATTGATAGAAGATGCGGACTTTGATATTGCTAAAGTGTCGACAAACTTATCCTCACTCCTTGGTCGGACGTGGGTACCAGAATATGTACCATTGTGGTAATCTCCTGAGAAGTGAAAAAGAGGTTTCAACAAAATTTACAGCCATAACAGGATACATAACGAAATAAAATATTCACGACGTACTTTTCTATTTTTTTCATAAATTACATAACTTACAAAGATTTTGCAATGTCGAACAAAAAATTCAACATATTCACTTTTATGTTTATAATGCTTATAATATTTGCAGTAAAAAGCTGTTGAATAGTATTACTAAAAATCTGAAATAGTCTCGATATTTCACGTGCAATATTGTTTTATATATTAAATTAGCAGTATATCGCAGAAATTAATTGATCGTTGCTGTTGATACCAAAAAATAGAAACTTTATTAGATTGTAATAGTATTTTTTAGATGTAATATATATATAAAATAATGTAACGTTACTAGTACTTGTCTACCATCGTCGCGTATAGTAGACCCGTATAATATTCAATATCCATCATATGTAATATTATGATAATGAGTAACAGTCTGTATATACATTATTTCTACATTATAATATAATAAATGATCGGGCATTTAACATTACAATGTCCAACATTAACAGAAACATCACTTTTCTAATTTATTT